TATATATCTTTACCGGTATGAGTTATAATATGAAATTAAATTTTATGTCAATGTATGTAATTGTTCATAGCAAATATACTGTAACACTATTAAAAATACAACTACAGGAATATATATCCGTGTACATAGCTTAGACTTTCCTTACTGTTATTCCAATGTTCACTAGCCGCGAAGGCTCTACTATCAACTAAACCCAAATACTGTGCCTGCCGATCTTACATGCCGATCTCTTGTATAGGGTGATGTATGCAAATTCAGGCTTCAGCTAGGGACATCATTGTGATTGGCTAGCATAAGCATATGCACGTCTGTAAAAGCTTAGGAATTGTTCTTTCCGCCAAAATCTATTGCGGACGTAAGATTTCAAAGTGTGCTGTGCAGCAAAGTAAATTTCAGCGGACTGATTTTGCCCTACGTGGACTACATTTGGCAAGTAACTATGAGGCCAAAATCAGTCCGCCGGACCGATTTTTCCCCCGGACCAAATTTTTCCTGACAGGCCTAGGCGGACTGCTGAGGGTTGTTGGACGCACAATCTGGACTAGGCCCCAGACTACTGAAAAGACCTCCTGGTCCGACCTAGCTTACATAGTGACATTTTAATAAACTTTAATTGAACAACTATTTAGTATTGTATTTGCAGACAGACAGTAAATGTATTACTTCAATGTATCAAATCAATCACCTTATATTTTATCTTTGCATTGATTCAAATATGAGGCCCATACAAAGGCTGAATCCCGAGACAATAAAAGTGAATGGGACGTCGTTCTATTAAAATCGAACAGAGGTCCCTCGCAATGCATACAGCGGCTGGCCATTGAGGCTGACACAGACTTGGAAAATTGCGCATGCGCAAAATATATTCTATACGGGTTATTATAAATAATTCATTTATTTTACCAAACTATCCTACGGTACATAAAATGCTTCCGGATCAGCTTCAGTGGTGGCACCAGGATTTGCCTGACTGGGAGGCTAAGTCCCTTACTAACAATTTCCGACAGGATCCAGGGGCATGCCTTAGTGGTGTCCAGGGCGATAAGCCTAGTGCCCAGAGGAAGTGAGTAATTTTGGCCAATTGCGTTTCTGAGGGAACATAAACCAAAATCCACTCCCCCTCCCCTCCTTTTTTATTTTATAATTCATTTTTGATCAGACAAGAAGTGTCATTCCGAAAAAAAAAGGCTTAAGCCGCACGTCGCCANNNNTAGATGTGTATAAGAGACAGGCTCATATGTCGCCATCTATATTGCCACGATCTAACAATAGTATGTACTACTTTTTTATCATTTTTTTGTATTATTGTATTATTATACAGTATAAATAACCTACATAATAAAAGAATAGTGTATTTGTTCATTAATGAAATGTCAAATTCAGATTAAGCATGGAACCCTTTGCAATAAGGGCAACGGTGATAGTAGACTGGTCAATAAAAGCCTTACTTGAAACTCAACACGGAAACATTAACTATAAAAATTATGTTGTCGTTTCTGTTACAGAGTAGCGTGATGGCAGTGGCTTTTGCAGACGAACTAGAAGATGAACTCCAGTGTCACATACATTTTGGTATATTAAAGGATACCAAAATTCTACCATGTCATCATACATTTTGCGAAAGGTGTTTAGATGGTTGGATTGCGCAAAAGAAGGGCGTCCTTATATGCCCTTTGTGTAACACTAATCATGGTTCATTTCCAAATGGAGCGAAAAATCTTCCAAAAAATTACCAACTCGAACGTGTACTTGAGGTTATGAACAGAGAATCAGAGAAGCATGTATGTGTAAAACAAAATCATAAAGTTGTTGCGTTCTGTAGCACATGTTTGGAATGTGTATGCCAAGCATGTCTGAACAAACATCAATCCCACACAACTCAAAACCTGGATACAATCAACCAAGAGCTAGCACATAAACAGAAAATCTCGAAAAATTCTCTACAACGAGCACAAGATGCATATGGCCAGCTGAAAGAAAATGCCGACATGGCTAAAGAAACGCTGGCTGTCTTTAGAGCACAATGTATAGATGCTGTGAACTCATTTTGTGACAAAGCTGTAGACGAAGTAACATCAGCCGTTGATCAAAAATCCTCGATATTGAAAAAGCAAATGGCTGAATTTAAAGAATTACACAACGAATACAAAGAAGGTGAAACTATTATAAATACGTTTTCAAAGGGGTCTGTAGATGTACCAGAAAACGTACAGAGAATGTGGGACAAACTAATGACCATCAAATCTCTGTCAAACACATCGATTGGTGTCGAGAATCCTTACCTCAAATACGAAGTAAAGTACCCTTTTGATATCCACGATATGTCTGCTGGCAAGTTGATACTTGGAACATCTCCAGATGTATCTTTATCGAAGATAGTGGTGAATAGAAATGCCGAATCCGTGGATGCAAGTGTGTATATATCGGTGATTCTGCAAGATTCGCAAAAGCAAGAGGTTTCTTATGGTAAAACAGATATTGTTTTGAGGATTGTACAGCCCGACATGTCCAATGGCAACATTCAGAAGATAGAGCGCTCCTACTACGTATTCGTTCCCACAATGATTGGTGATCATAAGATCCACGCTTACATTTATGGAAGAGAATTGTGTAATTCTCCATATGATTTGAGGGTCTCCCCATCATTCGACCAGGAAGCAGAAAAATTTGGCAACGTCAAGTACAAAGCGGCCCATGACGTGGTCGAGTTTAAAAATGAAATCTACGTAACTGACAAAGGAAACAATCGCATTGTCGTCACTGGTAAAGATGGTATAATGCGACGGGAATTTACTTTTAAGTTTGCAGACATGGTTTATGCTTTCGAGCCATTTGGAATAACAATTTCTCAAAAGGGTGTTTTACACATAACAGATATGCGTAATCACGAAGTATTCTTGTCTGCTACAAATGGTAACTTACTTAAAAAATTCGGCAAATCCAAATTGAAGAAGCCAACTGGAATTGCATTGAAAGAGAATGGTGACATACTTGTTGTGGACTACGATGATCACCGTATCTGTGTGTTTGACCAAAAGGGTGTATTTAAACGATATTACGGGGCGAAGGTAAAGATTTTGGTAAATTTTTGCACCCGTGGTTTATAGATATGCAGAGCAACAAGAGCTGGGTCGTGGCAGATCATGACAATTTCCGTTTTCAAATTATCCTCCCCAATGGAAATGCAAGGTCTGTGCCTGTGACTGTGTACGATAAAGGAGCATTTGTTAGAGGTGTGACAGTTGACCCTAATGACAACATCATAGTTAGTGTACAAGCAAATACCTATGGCAAGTATTATCACGTGCTAATGTACAATTCCGACGGTGTATTTCGTGGATGTATTTCAAAGGAAAATGTTCTTTTGCGACCACGTGGTATGTGTGTTACAAAAATAACAACTGGCGAACAGGTTCTTCTTGTTGCTGATGAAAGTGGAGTTTTACAGTTTCTAAGATGTGTATAAGAGACAGTATATATATATATAAGAACATTTTGATTTCGAAAATTCCAAAGCAAGGTAAACACAGTGTTTATCTTACAATATTTTACGCATTTTTTACTATTATAATAATTTTAACACATCTTAGATGTTTTTTTTTTAAATATTTAATATTTTTGTTGTAGTATTTGTATATTGTAGTATTCTATCTCATTTCCAGCAACCAATTTTGTTTTATGCCTTTTTTGTTGTATGGAACGCAATTAAATAAAAACATAAGCTTGAAAGTATTCCTTATCGGTTTTGTTGAAATGTAATGTTAACGTTATATGCTTATGATGTATCGTAATTGGTAGTGGCGGTGGTGGTAATTGTGATTTTGTTAAAACAAAATAATTTTAGAGAATGTTAAGTGCATAAAGTTTATGATACTCACATACAGTAAATGCATAATGATATATAATAATAAGAAATAAGTACGCCTACATTACACGGCTTTAATCAGTGAAATTTTTAGATGTTCAATTAAGTTTATGATATTCACATACATTAACTACACCATGATATATAATAATAAGTAATAAGTACGCCTACATTACACGGTTTCAATCAGTGAAATTTTCAGATGTTGAATTAGGTTTATGATATCACATACAGTAAATACAACATGATATATATTAATAAGTAATAAGTACGCCTACATTACATGGCTTAAATCAGTGTAATTTTCAGATGATAAATTAATGTTATGTAGGCTAATTCCACAAAATGCTCAACATTTTAAGCGTGGAATAGCTGTATATTGTGTTCTGAGATGGAGGTTTTAATGAGAGAGGATGACTGACAAGACATAAATCACTGCCTAAAACTGAACAGAATGTAAGACATTAGACAAAAATATAAAGTTGTTTTAGAAAATTTAAAAACGGCACCTGTATATTGCTTTTTTAATTGAACACTTCACATTAGTTCCAAATTGTTGGATTTAAGCCCATCTACATTCGGTCAATATTAAAACATGGATTTAATACTACAAAATTACGATAAATGCTACCTACTGTATGTAAAATTTTAAATATTTGTTCGACAGTTAAGATATAGACCTATTTGAACATTACATTGTTACATAATATTTAAATAAAAGTTCTAATCGTAAATAAAATACTATATTATTTGATATTTTTTAATTTTTTAAACTAGAAATCATACAACATAAATGTATAATGGTATGTAGATATGAAAATGAAAAGCAATATTTCATTTTGATAACAAAGTAATAAAACGTAAACGTATACTAGGCCTATTGTTTGATCTGGGCCTATTATTTATGTGGATTGGCAGAATACTTGCCATTATTATTTTCTACTAAAAGGTTTATGGTTTTCAATAACAAAGACAGAGAGTTACATCGTATAGAAGTGGCATATGGATGTTTACAACTATTGACTGTATCAGGATAACCAAAAAAATGGGATTGATTTTGAAAACACTGTCGATTTCTGAATTATACTCACGTGCCCTGAAGACATTAGAATAACGTCGATTAACCAAATTCTTTTAATCTTAATATAAAATGACTCCAGTTTTCAGACTGCAATCATGACGATGGTTATGATAATAATGGATAATTGACGATAAAGATGACGATCATGACGATGATTATCATGATGATGATTGATGAATGGTGCTAACAAAGATGATGAATATTACTCTAATAGTTCTACTAGCCACTGTGTGTTTCAGCTAGAGGGCTGAAATGCAAGTTACTATAGCGTACCGTCTTTCGGATTAGACGTTTAAGCCGTTGGTCCCGTATGATTTATGGCCCATGTGCATGTTAAAGAACGCAGCACACTCTTCGGAAAAGAGTAGGGGATTGTCTCCCAGTGTACTGCCCAATCACCACCAGAAGGACCCCACTGGAAATAAGCCTTCTTTCGACTTGTGTGATCCTTGGTGTTTACACAAAATAAATCCATCCATCCACTATTATAATATTTTGTAAAATTAATATATGGCTATTTCATCCTACGCAACATACGTACTTTCTGAAATCTACCACTACAACAACACAACAAAAAAAAGTTAGAGAAGGATGTTAGCATATATTTTACGTGTACATTATTGCACCTCGTCAACTATAGTTATCTAGGCCTACATTGAAGTACTTACAAGGAAATGTTTACTGAGTAAGTGCGCATGCATGCTATAACGATCTTATAGCATGCACTTCAGTGCCAAAGCTAACAACGATTGTTCAACAACTGTATGTCTACGTTGTAATAATACAATCAGTATGGCATTGTTACATGATTGGTATAAAAGATGGTCCCGAGTGCATTTTACAATCTGTATTGGACCATAGTCCAGGGGGTAGTGGAAAATCCATCAGGTGACACCCACTGCTTTATCTAATATTTATTTAGTTACTTTTACCATTCTCTTTACCCTGCCTTTTACTAATAATTGGCTATTTACTTTCAGAGAGTTGGTTGGGCCTCCACTAAACTATGACCAGAGGCAAAAAGAAACAATGATACTGTCTATCTAATTTGAGTTTCAGCAGGGAGAGGTGCAGTATGTAATTTGAGAAAAAAAAATTAATCTAAAATGAACATTTTGGTGCAATGAAAATCTGGTGCATATTGCGCACCTCCCCAAATTACAAAAGGTTCATATTTTCCGGGGTAGAAAATTCAAAACATTCTTACACGATCCAGAAATCCATCCACCAAAACTCCTTGACTAATCACAGCAGTTTCCAAGTAGAATTGCCTCTAATTTGTCGTACAAGGAAAGACTTTTAACTGTATTTATAAGCTTTTTGAGAAATTTTAGTTTTTCCTGCCGCTTATATATATGTGGTTTTCCTCGCAAAGCCGATGCTCGTGTGATTGTGAGTTTCCTACCTATCAGGTACTATGCGGCTTGAGACAAGCCTGCTCGTGACAGACGCGGCTGTGCGTCTTAATATGCGGTGGTGGACCTCTCCTGTCATTCGACCCTCTTTCTACCCCTCCTGTTTATACTCCTACACTTTTGGAGTCATTAGGAGGTCGGAAGTTTTTAATAAGATTGATTTAATATTTATAACCAGACCAGTTTCCTTAACATAAGAAAGTTGCTATATTCATCGTTAGGCCTATCAACATTTTTGATAGACTACAGAACAGTGGAAAATAAAAACACTGAATATAATGTTTGCTCTCAAAACCAGTGGCGGATTCAGGGGTGGGGCAGCCAGCCCGGGCCCTCCTCCTAAATGAGTAAAAAAGAAAATTTATATTGAAATTTTAAGACTTAAGAGTCACGGCATTTCCGGCTGCCTATAGTTGCCATGTATGATGGAATTACAAATGTTCCTACCTCAGACCCCACCAGTGGTGGCGCCAGCGGGGGTGGGGGAGGGGGATATATATATATATATATATATATATATATATATATATGTTTTTAATCTACTTGTTAACATATATATATATATATATGTTTTTAATCTACTTGTTTATTATATGATATATTATGTTTATAATAAGCAAGTAGATTAAAAACATATATATGTGTGTGTGTGTGTGTGTATGTGTGTGTTTTTAATCTACTTGCTTATTATATGATGCAAAAACGCTTCTAGACAATCGAATACAAATTTTTTTATTCGTGTATACATATACGACAGGTGGGCAAAGTGCGGCCCGCGAAAATGAATTAAAAACCCTATGTGTGCGGCCTCCCAAGCAACCACAATGCTACGCAGCAACATTGATTCTATGTTACTTCATTATAATACAGGTAGGAATTCTAGAGTATTCTTTGGCAAACAGTATATCAACAAACAGTATAAGGAAATTTTTTCTTATTTGATAGGCTATTTTCGATATGATACTCACATCACTTTTCATTTATTCGAGCTCTGTTTTCACCATTATTTAATTATATAAACAGAGTGCTACACACAAAAATTATATATATATATATATATATATATATATACAGGTATATATATGTTATATATGCATATTTGAAAATGATATCTAGAAGTTTATTCGATATTATTGCCTTCATACCATTACTTGAATGTGATATTTAATATTTGTCTACATAATTTCATTTATGCTAAAGTTATCTATATACTCTTCTTAATTTTTCTTGATTTTTCTTTTATTTATTTTCACTTTCTCCATTATATTCATTTTCTATACTTTTTTATTTCATTTCCTTTCGAGTTTTTTTCTTCTCCTTTTCGTTCTTGATCTTTAGGAGTCATAGTATCACTATGGGAAGTTTCATGCTTTCTTCAAGAAGTGCACGATTCTACCTGAAATTTAACCTTAGCCGCTCTACTATAAGAATATGTCTGAGTGCGAAGGGGCTCCACCCTCTCGACCTCAGAAGGGTCCACTTCCCACAAATTCGCACCCACCCAACGAAAAATCCTGTACGGTCCTGGTGTCTCCTTGTGAAAATATCGTGTTTGCACTTGCAGATTCTCAGTAAGGCTACAAAAGCGCATTTTTTTTATAAGTATAGATGATCATTAAAAAAAACCTCTGTAGGATGTACCTTATGAAATAGGCTACCGTAGTTGCCCTTGTGTAGTAGCTCCCGCATATCTGACTTCAAATCGATCAGCGTGACCATGACAAAAGAAACACTTCTGAGTTTCGAACACACTTTGAAAATATGGGAAAGGGTCAAAAGGGTGAGGGTCTAATATTTAATCATATTATCAGACTATGACATTTGAAACTTGTCAAAGGTCAAAAACATCATTTCCAGTCATTTTCTAGCAAACTTTTCTATTAGACCAAATAGAAACATTAATGTTCCGAACATATTGACACCACAATTAACTCTTTACCACCAGTGGTTGCGGAGATGTAATGACCCTATTGCTATGACCTTAAAACGTGTCAAAGGTTAGAAACAGCATTTCTGGTCATTTTATAGCAGCCAAAATGTTCCATTAGAGCAAATAGAAACCGGAATGTTCTGAACAAACAGGCA